TGCACGTGTGGCTTTAAAGTATACTCATTCATTCTGACCTAAAGCATAGAGAAATTGACAGCTCTGAAATGAAAAGGAGCCAGATTTCTGCCAATCTAATTACACCACAATAGCATATTCCACTTATATATTCTAGCTTCTTGCAAACCTGAAGCAGGCAGTCCTCTGCATCTTAATACCGGGTTTCCATGACAACCAGATACTCTCCATTTGTATGCATGTGTAGGCTTGAGGGAGGCTCTTTACTTGTAAAGCATGGCAGAGTCGTCCATCCATCATGTAAAGAATGCCGGTGTGTGCGTGTGTGTACACCACATCACTTGCAATGCTATAGTATATGTTGTGCAAAGTTCGACTCGCATTAGAAGATAGTTGCCTTAAGAAATAACTCTCTTGGGATGCTTAATGCCTTTCTGCTTGAAATGCTTCAGACGATACTTAAGCAGGGTTGTTTTGAAGCGTTATTTGTCGCGCTGCATGGTCCATGAAACGTCTGATGGTGATTGGCAATAAATATGACCCATTTCATTGTTGATTCGGTTTAAAGTTGATCAAATAAATATACCAGTTTACAAATGCATTTGATGTTGCCTCTACTACCAACGTGTCAGCCTTAGCACTTATAACTTTGACTGATGTAGCGACAATTCATGTATATATTCCATATCTGGACTATTTGATTACAGTAATTTAACTTATGGTTGAAATATGCTAGACTTTGTTGCTAGGCTTTGATGAAATTATTCACAAATTGGGATACTTCATTTTGTGTTGGGCATAAAGGCATAAATACAAATAACATGATCACATTTATTTTCCAATAAATCAACTGAAGGGCATTTTCAATCCCCTATTGTATATCCCGTAGAAATCATGTTAGGATAATGTAATATGTCATTGTCACGTTAGCACGTTTCAATAGGTGATGCACAAGCCTATTGAAGTTGTTTTTTCCAAAATAGTTGCGATGGTGTTAAATGTTTGTAATTTCCTTGCCATGTCTAAGTTTGAATCATAAGGGTAGAGAAATGATGAGAGAAAAGTGATAACCTAGCATTAATGTCTATTCAGAGGATTGACTGATATGTATTGTATAGATATAGGTAAAACCTCAGTCACAAATGCCATTACGAACGCTCTACGAACATTTTTAGACAATGGAAATTCGGAAAGACAATGGAAAAACGGAGATTCTTACAAAATTATCGTTTGTACGAACCTTTGTGACCGTAGCAAAAGGTAAACATATGGAATCGTGGAATAGTGAGAGAGAGAGAGAGAGACAGAGAGACAGACAGAGAGAGAGAGAGAGAGAGAGACACAGAGAGAGAGACCAAGAAACAGAGAGACAGACAGATTGACAGACAAGGGGAGAGAGAAAGGGGAAGAAAGGGGGTGGGGAGACACAGAAAGACCAATGGAGGAACAAAAAGAAGAAAAAGTGAAAATAGGGAAGCCTGACATTTATCAACTGAGGGGAGAAAGGGATCAAACAAAAAATGAGAAAAAGGGATAGAAAAAACAAAAGGTTCGATGCAATGAGAGGAAGCAAAGAAAGGAAAAAAGAAAATGAGGAAAAAAGGAGAGATAGAAAAGGAGAAATGATCAAGGTGAAAGTGACACAAACAGGAAGTCAGGGAGCGCAGATCGAATGACGGGAATTTATGGGTGGCAGAGCTTAATTCAAGCGTTGTTATTATTGTTCTCTTGCGAAATAAGCTAAAAATATAAATGGTGTAACTTGTCTTGTTCAATAATCTAGAAAATAGAATGATGTACCTGTTTGAGTTGAAGGTTGAAAATGAAAAATAAATCCTTTTTGTTGAAGTATGAAGAGGGAACCGAGACGTTTCCACTCCAAGAAGAATGAACTCCCCTACTTTCAAAGTAAATTTACCCTTTGCTTTATTCATGTATTCATAGCAAGGTGCCCACAAGATCTGGCAACTGAAGTAAACAACGGAAAGACTGCAATAGAAATCTGAATTTCACTTTTAATCAAAACAAAGATGTCTAAAAATACACTGAAGGGTTGCATCACATGTCTAGCACTGTGAGATTTTCAATCCTCCCTGAATCATTTCCACACTCCCACATCAAAGTTAGTGGGTTTTTACCCAAGTAAATTAGCACGCTTGGATTTTGGATGATGTTTATTTCATCTGTTTTTGAAAGAATATTGTTACGCAACGTTACATATTTAGGTTAGATTTGTGAAGTACAGAGATGTAACATCAGAGAAATTTGACATGTTGATCCAGTGGTTATCTTGAACAGTATAGATCAAAAGGTCTATAAAACATGGTTTGTTTTGAGCCAAAAAGGTGTTACTTGTGCATCACACAGAGACTTAATTCTCCAGTGACTCAAAACAGTCAATCTAAGGATTTAATTCAGTGTTGTGATAACTCTCGCTGCTACTCCACATTTTTCACTGAATAGATTAATATGATAGATGCCTAATGTGTTCTGCATATGGTTTCTTTTGCTGCCAAATTTTGTTATATTTTCAGTCAAACCGCAAAACCGACTCCAAATCAATTTCAAAGTAACCAATTCTTGGCCATTCGCTGTAATGATATGTTTTGTATGGTCTGTTGTTGATCCGGCGGTGGTCTTATCGGTGTGACTGTGATATACGTGTGACTGTGGTATACGTGCAACCTCTGTACCGCATTTTTTTACTAAAATGCTATTATCATGCAGCCATACACACTTGACGGTTAATGCTGAAAAGGAATTCTTATAATTTCTAAATAATGTCCTCAATCAATACTTCATTGAAGGTGACCTTGACGGCCGGGCATGCCTTAATCAGCATCGTACTTGAAGGTTTCTGCAATGTTGAAGAGAAAAATGTGTATGATCCATGTCTATTTTTCATCTCAGAGACCACGCTATTTACTTTCGGGTGTCTCTGCTCTTTCTACGTCATAGTTATTGATTGGTTATAATTGAGCACAATCAATTAAAGCCAAAGTTCATTCAGGTTGAGACAACTCCTATTTTTTATCGTTATGGGAGCAATTTATTTTTCTAGTTGATTCACCAACTTGGTCTGGTCTACTATCTTCAATTGAGTCAATTCAGTTAAAAAAATAAGGTGTTGAAACTTTCAGAATATATATATATTTTTTTATTACACTCTGAAATCTTAAATGTTAAATTCTATGTGAAATACCAAGGAGTAATAGCAAATTTCAAGCGCTTGGTTCACCCTTTATAAGTCTAGTCTAGCAATATAAATACCAAGGTACAGCATTTTGTAAATGCTGTCACTCCTCTGCCCTTTTAAAAGGGGATCTAACATTTTTTATTTGAGGTTGTAGCTCACGTTTGACCCTGTTCTTGTGACCTGACTTGAAGTCTTATAAACTCTGCAGACAAGATGAACGTTTTATAAGATCTTTTTACTTTTCCATATGATTAAGGAAGACATTTGTACAGGAAAAGGCAGAAATAATTGGATGCAGAAAAACAAATCTATTTCATGAATTGTACATCTTTTTTTGTTGATAGTATGTTTGTACATGTATCGTTTCTGTAATACAAATACATCCATATGATTGGCACAAATAATCTTGATTGTGTTTTCTCTCTCTGTGCATTTTTCTTTATCTGCTATACAGGAATACGTCGAATATGCCTTCCTCATTATCTTTCTGATAGAGGCTCTGCTAAAGATATGTGCCCAAGGCTTTCTCTTCCATCCAGGCGCGTATCTACGGAACGGATGGAATATATTAGATTTTCTCATCGTAGCTGTAGGGTAAGGCTATTGTTTGATTGACTCTATCCCTCCTCCTGGCAATGTTTCAACTCATGCTTGGTTTCAAAGGGGCTGTTCACACCGCAATGAGATAGCGCGGTCTATCGTAGCACCCCTTTTTTTCTAGCGCGCGCTAGACCGCGCTATCTCTCGTGGACCACCCCCAAGAGGTGCTCCAGTGGCACGCCGTTTTTGGTCACCGTGGCTCGCTGTTGGGCGGAACGAAATGATGTTGTACCTTCCCCACCGCAGAGATAGCGCGGTCTAGCGTGCGCTATCTCTGCCGGTGTGAACAGCCTCAAAGAGAGATCTAGGGTAATGCATGAATGCAATTATTGAGTTTGGAAAGGAAGGGGGGGGGGGGGGAAGAAAGCGAAGGATTATTTGTGTGCATGCAAATTAACCAAGACATTCACAAAGATGTATCTGTCGTTGTTACATTTAGCAGCTCTTGAGGGTAAGATTAATATGTAATTAATTAATGCTTGCTAAGACCTATGTTAGAATTGGAAGTAATTTGTTAGAAGGAGGGGGTTTGGGTCTTCTCCACCCCCCCCCCCCCTTGTACATTTCTAGGAGAATGTTGTAGAACATGCCTCTGGATTAGGGAGGTGAATCGATGATGCTTTATCACTTTCCAGTGTGAAGGTTTCTTGTTTTCTTGCTGCTGGGAATAAATTAAGCCAGTACCAAGGGTTCCAAGATTTCATCTTTATCCTCTTTGTTATACCTCTCTCTCAGAGAATCAATACCAGTAATGATTACCAGTACTTGTCATCCATACTATTGAGACTCTGAATGTACTTTTTCCCTCTCTTCATTTCATATTTTGAAAGGCTTTGAAATGCTTTGAAATGCTGTATTGACATTGTATTTTTGAGAGAAAATGACTAAATAACAATATTTTAAAGTTTGTAGATGGGTTGTATCAATCGACTGGCAAATTGCGATCGTATTATTAAGGATTATACTTTATACATTTTCTACTGAAACCATATTGCAAACATTCAATTGTAGTTTTGCATATCCACTATTAAAGCGTTTTCATTTTTATTGCAAAATTTGTTTTTTCTCAGTACAAACATTCAAGATTAGATTTCAAAAGAATCATATTATAGATCACAGAATAGATGTCAGAGTGTAGGCTTAAGACATATTTTGCGATGCATCTCCAAAAAGACTTGACCGTTCTGAATTGTTGCTTCTTTTATTTTCAGGGTTATAAGTACAATTTTATCGTTAAGAAATGTCGAGAACACCAATTTTGATGTGAAAGCTCTCCGCGCCTTCAGAGTATTCAGGCCTCTACGTCTAGTTTCAGGGGTGCCAAGTAAGTCTATATTAAATTTCTCTTCAATAACAAGGGTTAAAGGTACTAGCTCATATTATGAAAAGTTTTCTCGCAAAGTTAAAATCTCTTGTGCATGAGAAATTATTTAAAAGTATCTAGAGATATTAAACAAATATCGGGAAGTTAAAGGCAAGTTGATGGATGCTCTCTGTGGTAAAGATGTACTTGCATTCCAATAATGATACTTGAGAAGTTTTACTAGATTGTCAAAAGGAAAATATGGAATGAAAGATGTTATAATCAGCAAAGTCTATTTATAAGAAAGTATTGTATGTTGTGCTTAATTTGATAATTATCTTGCTAGCCATACCATTTCGAGCTACTTTTTTAATCATTTCACATCAATAGTGAATAGTACCTTTAACAGATATCTTTCACTTCTAATCCTGGATAGATCTCATATGGTTAGACTTTCAAAAGAAGTTTAGAAAATAAACTTCTCGTTGTCATTTAAGATCTACTTATTTTAAGTATTTTACAACCATCATGGTTTATCCTGTTCTTGGAATCCCCTTTAAACATATAAACTAACTGGCACCATGTTATTTCTAATCATTGTGAACTGTCAGTTGGCCGGGGCCCCTCGTCTCGATGTGTGCTGACATTTGATTTCCTTTCACCTATGTACATGCATTTGGAGCAATCAATATTTGTGAAGGGCTCTGCATGCATGTGTGAATGCATTTGTTAATAGACAAGGTCCAAAAATACATCCTTTGCATCCATGTTAGTGCTCATTTTTGGAAAAACATCATTCAAAATGTGGGGGGTATAGTTGGTGTATTCTAAGCGATGGCTTATCGTACATGTATCTCACACTGTACTGTAGATGTCATTTTTAATATTTCTTGAAGAGTATATATTCATGTCACAATTCAGCTTACAACTACTTTTGCTTAAGACAACTTAATTGAAACTGAGAGGCATTTAATTATAGAAATTATACATTTATTATATTTGTTTACACTAAGTACATAGGCCTTTCTTAGAGGATCTTGTTATAGCATTTGTATGTATCTGCATGGTGTAGGGTGTTTATAAACAACCATGCTGTTGAATTGCTTTCATTAGTTTGAATGGAATTACCCTAGAGGGTAATATAACTTAACCTATAGATTACCAAATTCTGTCGTACCCATGACATTAGTACAGGGACTACATGGTTCTCATAGGCAATGGGTTTATATATAAACCTGAAAGAAGACATTTGCTATCAATGAGGCCTGTCCTCATCAGCTTGAGTTTGCCAAATAACCCGCTAATTTCAGACTCGGGATATTATCCCGAAGCTCGAAATTGTGTCCCCACCAGACCCATACGCTCATCACAAACTAGCTCAGATGGGTGCAAATTGGCCCGCTATTTCCCAAATAGTGGGATAATTTGGAAACAAGACCAAGATTTCTCAGGATATTTTCTCTACCAAATATCTCGCTAATTGCAACTGCGGGCTGATGAAGACGCAAATTCGCCGGATAATTTGCAATCAGGATCATTAAAATAGCGGGTTATTTGGCAAACTTGAGCTGATGAAGACAGGCCTAATGTGTTACAACTTTCATATCTTTTTCCTGATCAGGATCTTGATACTAATCCAGAGTTCTTTCTCCTCCAATCAAGGTTTACAAGTTGTTTTGAATTCCATTTTCCGTGCCATGGTGCCCCTCCTCCACATTGCCCTTCTCGTCATCTTCGTCATCATCATCTATGCTGTAATTGGTCTGGAGCTCTTCATGGAGTATATGCATAAAACGTGTTATTTCAAAGACACATGTAAGTATACTGCCATGAGGAAGCTAGGGAGCTCAGCTCAGCTCAGCTATCTCCTGTCTTCCGGTGCTTTCACCTGTATATAGACTCTGTCCTTCTTTTCTCCCCTTTTCCCCCTCCTCATCCCTCTTGCAATTTAGGGTGATAATATACTTGATTAATAAAAAAGGTTTTTTTGAGAACATTCCATACTTCATCAGCTATCTCCTGTCTTCCACTGATTTTACCTGTATGTAACTCTTGGTGCTTTTCTTAATCTACTTATTTTTATATGTCTTTATCTCTTTCTCTTGCAATTTAGAGTGACATTATACTCGATTATTAAAAAAGTTTTGTTGAGATCATTCCATGCTTTATTTCATCATTCTGATTTAGGGCTTTTCTTGCTAACATGGTTTCTCCAGGGCTATCAATCTCAAATTTAAATTATTGGTAGCCTTCTACCTCAATTTTCATTTGGCAAAATCAAAAGCTGGCCTTCGGCAAACTTGATACTGTCATATATTGAGAGAATATTGTTGTCACTATGGATTAGAAATTCAATCCTGAAAATGATTAATAGCCATATTTTGCTCTTGATGATTTTTTTTTATAGCAATAAAGCTGTTTCAAGAAGCCTTCCCATACACCAGATTCCCTTACCCCTATGGCCATCTACCAAGTGGCTATGTATCAGTCTGTAGCACCCGTACGTCTCTCCGCTCCTCTTGTTCCCCTTTAAGACATCCTCCTTGTGCACTTAACACCATCCTAGCCCTGCTTCGCACTCCTCCTTCTTCCACGCAATTGCTTTTCTATCTCCTTGACAACTACCCCCTAGCCATTCTCACTATCTAGCTGTCTATCCCAGCCTCATTTTCTAATGGTACAGAGAGAGAGAGAGAAAAAAAGAGAGAGAGAGAGAGAGAGAGAGGGGGAGGGAGGGAGGGAGGGAGGGAGGGAGGGAGGGAGTGAGATAGAGAGAGCGAGATAGAGAGAGACAGACAGACAGAGGTAGGCGAGAGAGAGAGAGAGAGAGAGAGAGAGAGAGAGAGAGAGTGAGGGTGATAGTATGTTTAACATTCAGGTGAGTGGCTGGAGCGTGCATGGAATGTTTGAAGCCTTGTTCAATCACATGTCAAAATAAAGGGGTACAAGCATAGTTTTGATGAGAAAAAGGTGACTGAACTTTGTTTGTAGATATGTTGCGCACTTTTGAAAATGCTATCCTATTATTGTCAAATGAATACAGGAAATAGTTAGGGGTAATTTAATTTCTTTTACCCCTAGAATCATGATTTATGAATTTGAAGCAGGCTAGGTTGTATACTCCCTCTCTCCTAAATCTAGGGTAAACAATTTGACATTTTTCTGCGATTAAAAAAAGAAATTGTATTCTTTGGTGAAAAAAAGTTTTATCTGAAAATAGTGTGATTATTTGTTATATGACACGCCCTAAACACACTTAAAAACGAAGCTTTGGTAGCAAAAAAAAATTCAATTTAGCATTCGAAAGGAACAGATTGAAGAAAGCATCAAAGTAGAAAACGTACTGCTGGCACAACGCATCCGAAGACAATAGCCGAAAGGGTTATTCTTTTCAATATTCAATGAATATAGATCAAACTTCATTTCATCATCAATAAATCCTGATAGATGGAGGCAACTTGTCAGAGGACATGTTAATCCCTGCTGGAGGTGCAAAAAACCACTAGAGGGTGCGAGAACCAGAAGGGCGTTAACTTGTCTTCTTACACTAAGGGTTAATGGCCTTCTGGCTCTGAGCCTGCAATAAGAATGAAGTAGGGGTATTAAGGAGAAGAGAAAGGTGTAATAGAAAGACGAGCGGTGGTCAAGATATCATTTTTGAAATATGACTTTCATTCTTTCATTATCTTCTGAATTTGACAGCCATAATAGCGATGGACGACCCCCATCCGTGTGGGAACGGATTCAGGTGCACGGACCTCCTCGAGGTCGGTATCAACAACACGGATTGTTTAGAGAAGTGGGAGGGTCCAAACGATGGCATCACCACGTTTGATAACATCGGGCTTGCCATGCTGACCGTGTTCCAGTGCATCACCATGGAAGGGTGGACGGACATCATGTATGACGTAAGTTACCAATCCCATCGCAAACAAGTAATTGGTTTCATTAGAAGACCTGGATTAATCAGAGTAATTAAGTTTTTATGAATTCCGCTAATTTCATTAAAATGAACAATGTTTTTTTTTCCCTTCTGGCTTCAAACTGATGATATGTTCTCTCTAACCTCTTTCTTTCTACTCCTTCATTTCATACCTTTGCCATTCCACCTCCTATCTGTATAGTTTCAAATGAAAGAAATAGATTTTTGTCTGTTTAAGTGAAGATCTCTTACAAAAGTGTGAGTTATGTAATTTTAGTAGTTGTGGGGCTAGAAGAGTGTTAACTCTGTTTTGAATGTTGTGAACTTACACCCCGTGAACTTACACTCCTCTGAAACTCTGGAGATAATTGTCATTGCATTCTGGTGGTATCACAGCCCATCAATATTAGGGACAGGAAAACACTTTATCAACAACCATGTACTATTTCTCAGAGTGGTATCCTACCAAGCACCCTCTTTAAACTTTAAAGATATAAGATTTGAAGTTCACTGGTCTTTAATGAAACTGGTTTTCCTAAGTCTGGATGAGGTAGAATAATCCTTGGAAAGACCTGGGGGCGTTTCACAAAACTTATCATCAGTGACAAACGACAGTTTTTGTTATAATCTACTCACATTCTTGCTTCTGATTGGTTATCAGCAGATTTGTCTTTGATTTTTGTAATTTGTTATGGGGATTAGTCAGTACGAGAATACATCCGATAATGGCCTTTACTGACTGTTAGGGAAGAAGAAGAAGAAGAAGAAGTTTACTTGCATCAGACACAATGAAACACACTTCATCATCAGGACCAGTTGACTTCAGAGCCTAGATGTTTATTGAGGGTAATGATTTATATCAGTCCTGATTAGAGTAGGGGAAATCCCTTTCACCTTTTAAGACAGGCAAGAGCTTGGGAACATGTGACAAGTTACAGCTTTGGAAAGATAGATAGCTGATTTTTGTTATCATCATGGAGCAACATATAGAGAGGAGTTTTCCTTTGATACTGCTTTTAGGATTAAGCCAGCACCTCTGTTATCTTATGAATGTTTAACCGCAATATGGCCGGTTCAAAATATGGCAATGGCATTCTGAAAGTTCATCTTGCTTGCTCTTTGAGTGTGTATACAAGAATTAGCATCATTCATCAATTTTGTATTAGATGTTGTGGGAGCAATTCTAATTTTTTCATTGTTAACACGTTTCATAATAACAACCCAATTTTCATTCAGTCATTTGCTGAAATGGATTTTAAAATCAGACATCAGACTGATTATCCACAAATTAACGTTTTAATTCATCTAAGCTGAAACACAGATCTGATCATAATGATCAGGGACAACCTTTATGACATTTGCTTTCTAACATCAAGCAAATACCCACTGTCGTCTCCATCAAATAGTGCGTAACAGGTTCCATTCATGTGGCTCCAGTCTGTTGATGAGGCAGGGTTGGCCGTCGGTTTGCTACTTGTTTGTTTATACAAACTCCCCTGACTCTCGTCACATAGAGCATGGGGGTATTAGTACTCACTCTACGGTTGGGCTCACGTCGGAGCTCCTCGTACATGCATCCTATTAAATCTGAAAGCACAGCGGTTTTTGTTACACTGGCTGGATTTCACAGTTTTCTGGATGAGTTAAATACAAAGCAGGCTTTATTAAAATTGTGAATCCATTATTTCTAGTTGAGGATGGGAATACACACTTTGTATTTAGAATTTTATTGAAATTTTATTGCATTTCTTAAAAAGGAAAATGATCTCATATGGTTTGTTTTAAAGAACTGTTACTAATATCACTAAAAGGAACAAAAGAAAGATAAGAATCTGATAAAAGTTGATAGATTTTTAGGTGCCTTTTCTGCTACATAAACAAATTTCTGTTTCCAAGTACAAGATTTAATTTAGAATGTTGTCTATATCGTTTGTTTTCTATGAGGAGAATGAAGAAGTTCATCTAATGCAAATAGAGATAAACGAACAAGTGAGAGGGAAAGATCATGTTTCAAGGATACTCATGAATAATGGATTAGAGAGTCAGAGCTGAAGGCATTTCTCTGAGCGAACTACAAGATGACAAGATGACTTTGACCTACGAAAATAGTATCTGAAAATTTGATATCGAAGGATGTAAATGGGATATTGCTTATACAAACGATTAATTAGACATCTTGTTTTGCAGATGTAAAAATTCACTGTCAATGTGATGGTGTTTACAACTTACAATTTTAGCTGTGCTCGTGAGTCGTGAGTCGTGTATAAGATTGATGGTGGGTGGAAATTTTCTCCATTATTTACTTCCCCATTTCTTATGAACTCTGTAATGAAATAATTAGATGAAGATTATTGAATTTTTATGTAAATCATGGAAGAAATTAAATGAGATATAGAAGAAATGTCTATTTTGATCTGTTTATGGAAATGTCTTATATTATCATGAACAAAAGGAAAATTATTAGACTGTATTTAGATTAAAGCCCCTCTAAAGTATTGGAAGCCCCAAAAAATTGATGGCAAAAATTCACTTAAATTGTATCATAATGTGAAAGAAGATGTCATTTAAGACACATTTCTACAAGGATTTATCAAAACAAATGTGTTTGAAGTCGAATATTGATGAAAGAATGCAAATTTATGTTTTCTGCGAACAAAAAAAAATAAAAAATTATGCATTCTTTTATTAATATTTGTCTCAAACACATTTCTTGGGGGGAAATCTTTGCAGAAGTGTGTCTTAAATGACATCCTCTTTCACATTATGATACAATTTAAGTGAAATTTTGCCATATTATTTTGACATGTTCATATCTTCAGTAGACAACACTTGCCATATCTGTTTGTCAGAAATAATTCAGTCAAATTGCCTGATATAGAATTTTGATTTTGCAATAAAAAGCATTTTAGAATACCAAATTTAATGAAATAGCTCCTTAGGTTCATAGCTCTGTAAGTTGTCTTGTATTAAACAATTTTGAATGAGGAAAATGCAATTCATAGTTCCACACTACATCCCTATATATTGAATTGCACTAGCAGTGATCAAGTGACATTATTTGGATAATTGTTTGCTGAATTTGATGTTACTTTTTACATCAGAAATATTGTGTTTTGGAATGTTGATTGTTAGAACATTGTCTCTCCATTTAAATTAATTCAAAGAGAATAGACTTTTCTTTTAATTTTTATCTAAAAATAGTGTGGTTATTTTGTTATATGACACGCCCTTAACACGCTTAATGATAAAGCTTTGAAAACCACATGAATCTATTGGCATTTATAAAGCTATTTGTGCTATATATCCAGGTTATTTATCAAGTTGGGGTGAATGGTATCAAAGTATTATCTCTTATCTCTCTGTAATGTAAAAACGTATCTGTATTTATACTCATTTAAAGATTGTTGGAACATGTTAAATTACTCCAAGTTAATCGATTTTTATTTTTATTTTTATCTGAAAATAGTGTGGTTATTTTTTATACGACACACCCTAAACACGCTTAATAATAAAGCTTCAAAATCCTCATAAATTTATTGGCATTTAAAAAGCTATATGTGCTATATATCCAGGTTATTTCTCAAGTTGGGGGTGGATGGTATAATCAAAGTATTATCTCTAATCTCTCTGTAATGCAAAAACATAGGTCAGATCTGTATTTATACCCATTTAGAGAGTCTAGTTACAGACTGTGCAGCCTTTAATTCAAACTCGTAGAAATGGATTATGTGCATTAAAATGGAGATGTGCGTGCAGACTTTGAGAGCCATGTCTGAAGAAATCCCAGACATTCGCACTTCACACCGGTAATGTTTGCTCGTGAAAGACTGCAGTGTAGAACACGTGCTAGTATGGAAAATGTTGAAGCATTAGAAGAAATTTGATAGGGCTAAAAACATATTTGATTTGTGGTTCCGCATTAAACAACAAAGCATTTATGACCTAATCTTTTTTTAATAAGCCATACTCCCCCCCCCCAAAAAAAAAAGTATACAATATTTGTTCAAAGAATCATCATCGACCCATAGATCCAGGGGGGGGGGGTCTACTTGACTCTTTCTTCATCTAATATAACTCTGAAATAATCTTCTACCTCGGTGTCCATCCATCTTTTTTTATAGTAATAGCCTGCATTTCCTTTTCCACCATTTTCCCCTTTGTTCTGCAGCCCATCTCGTCAGTTCATCAGTTTAATCTCTCTTTTTTCTTCTTCATGCGTGGGAGCTATCTAAGTCTGCTTCCTCTTATCATTGGTTTGGAGCCAGAAGGGCATTAACTCATATACGTCAACACAGAATCAACGCCCTTCTGGCTTTGTACATATGTAATGTTCTATCTATCCTCTGTTACTTTCTACTACTTCATTTCATACCTTTGCCATTCTGTATAGGATCAAATTAAAAATCTATTTTTGTGTCTGTTTAAAGATACCTTACAATAGTTAGAGTATAATAGTAAACTAGACAACTTTATTTTAAATTTAGTTTTGCACGATCCTTGAGAAGAAGAAGAAAAAACAACCCTGAGATTTGGTGAAGTAGCAAGGACTATGTCATTTGCTTTAGCAGCTTGTTTTTTTGCCGTTTTTAGTTGCTAAGTTTTTAGTTTCTTGGGAAGCATATGGTTGCTATGGTCTAAAGTCATGGCTTTCCCAGGTAGCCCCCAATGTTGAGCTCGGCAATGACCCATGAGCTTAACGATAGACGCTTTAATACATTGGATGATGTTTCATGTGTGAAGAGGGCCGATGCATCACATAACTACCCCCCAGGGAGAGCACATGTTTCAGCAGGATATTATGAGTAGCTGCAGTTTGGCAATCCGAGATGGCTGCAATTGCTGTAGTTTGTTGATCTCATATTTAAATGACACACTGTCTGGAAACCCAGTAATAAGGGAAGCAATTGCCAGCAGGCCCGCTTCCCATCTTTTTCTTTTTTTATCGGAGATGAATTACCAGAAACCACTAGGTTAAGTGGACTTCTT